ACCTCCTAGCCACAACGATCAAAGTAAAACAAAAGAATAAAACAAGGCAATTTGTCTCTACTCAACTATTTAAATTATCAGTCATTTAACCGATTCCTTCAAGTATTGTCAAGGTTGTCCCATCACATTCCAACAATCACTAACATTGTCAATTTATCTATCACTGCTGGTGTGTTTCCACCTCAGTGCAAGACATCGATTCTACGTCCATCAATCCGCAAAAAGCCTTCGCAGGATCCCAACTGCTTCTCTAACTACAGGCCAATTGCCAACCTATCCTTTCTTGGAAAGACGATTGAGAGAGTTGCGACTCAATAACTAAACTCGTACCTTGAAGATCATAATCTTTTTCCAGACTTGCAGTCTGCGTATCGCAAGCACCACTGGACGGAAACAGCCCTACTAAAAGTGACTAATGATGTCTTGCGAGCTGTTGACCAACATACTGAAGTTGTGCTTGTTCTCTTAGATCTCTCGGCGGCCTTCGATACTATTGACCACAATATTTTATTAGAGCGAAGGAACACTAGATTTGGCTGTAAAGGAAAAGTACTAAAATGGCTTTCCTCCTATCTCACGAATCGTTCACATTGTGTTAAAATCAAGCACATTACATCTAAAACCTGTGAAGTCCATCATGGCGTGCCTCAAGGATCTGTTTTGGGGCCATTGTTGTTCATTCTCTATACAGCACCCATGGAGGATATAGTGAAGCACCACAAGTTAGACTGCATGATTTATTCTGATGATTGTCAACTATATTTGATCATGAATCGTGGAGAAAGACCATTCTCACTTGGAAAGCTACATGCGTGTATTAATGACATTCATATTTGGAACACTTTGAATAAATTACAATCTAACCATTGGAAAAACTGAGATCATCCATTTTTCCTCGCGGTTTCTTCAAAACCCATCTATCTCCACGATTGAAGTTGGATCTGCTGTCGTCAAAGTCTCTGACAAGGTCCGTGATCTTGGTGTGTTTCTAGATTCAAAGCTTGACTTTCGTAGTCAGATCAACAACATCTGTCGATCATCTTCACTGGCCATACGTAATTTGGGTCGTATCCGCAAGTACCTTACTCGTGTCCAACTTAAACGATTGATACATGCTTTCGTTTCTTCACGGCTAGACCATTGCAACAGCTTATTATATGGTCTGCCACTCGTTAATATAAACAAGCTTACAAAGGATCCAGAACACTGCAGCGCGTTTACTGGTTGGAGTTAAACCGAGAGACAGCATATCAACGATATTGAAAGAATTGCACTGGTTACCAGTTAGACATCCCATTGAGTTCAAGATCCGTCAACTCACGTATAAAGCCTTAAACGGCATGTGTCCATCGTACAACACAGCTCTACTAACAAAATATGTCCCAGTTCGTTTACTAAGATCAGCAAATAAAAACTTCTTGGAAGTGCCACATGGAATAAAGACATCAACGTATGGACAAAGATCCTTTTCTGTGGCTGCTGCAAACGTTAGGAATCAACTTCCAGAAGAAATCAAGAATGCTTCCTCGCTTGAACAGTTTAAATCGTTGCTCAAGACTCATTTTTCTATTATGAACACTAGTGACATTTTATATTTTAACTTCTACATAATGTCATATTAAGTTTTTTCCCCTATACTTTTCTTTTTCATTTCGTGTCACCTAGCGCACTGAGACGTCCGTTTAGTGCGCTATATAAGAATTTATTATTACTATTATTATTATTATTATTATTATTATTATTATTATTATTTCGTTTATTTCAACTTTAACTCGATCGTTTTACAAGTATTGCTCTTATTGAAATTGCGAATACATTATATATCTAAGCAATTGCCCAGTTATATCAAGTCAATGTCATTATTACTATCATTATCATTATTATTATTTCCAAATGGTCTTGAGAGCAGAAACTGAGCAATACCACGTGTGCACGAACATCTCTCTAGGGATAAGGCGTCCCATGTCAACAAACATCTTGCTGAACGTGAGGGGTGTCGCGCTGTTTGCAGCAAGGATTCTTTTCAGATTCGTGACAGCGCACACACGGACTTTCAACTTAAGATCAAAGAAGCGATTTCTATCCGATGGGAAAACCCTTCCCTCAATAGCCAAGATAAGCACTTAAACCTTTGTGTTTCTATTTGATCTCTCTCAATTGTTTTCTTTACGCATCATATACATTGCAATCACTATATACATAGTCATATATATTCATCTGAGCACAGCGGTCGTGCATCTTAGAAAATATCCATTAGTACGTCTTTACATTTTGCAGTTCTGTGTTTGGGAAACCTGCTGGATTTCTGGACAAAATGAGAAAAAACATGAATATTATAAAAATGTTTTGGATCACGGTTGCAGGGGCGGATCCAGGAATTTTAGCAGGGGGTGACTATTACAAAGGTTTTACCAGGAATTCGAGGAAAAGAGGGGTGACTGTTACTAACCATATGCTGAGGAATTTAAGCAAAAGTGGGTGACTAGTATTACCATCCCTGAATCCGCCCCTGGGATGAATATTCACTAGTTGTCGCTGTCGCCGTATTTGACGCAGTAGATAATAATAAAAGTGTAATACGCTCTTAAATATTTAAAAAAGCCCCTATAGACCCCCTGCACTAAGTACCGAGAAGAATTGTTCTGAGAGACTAAATAATGGAGTTTTCTGCATAAGAAAAGACGGCTTATTGTTTTGTTGAACAGACCAATTCCTCTAAGAAATCAATGCAAGGGGTTTATATATCTTTCAAATTTAGCTTGAGCATAATTTTAGAGAGTTTAAGATCCTCGTTTACGCCAAACGTGAAACGTCAGTTGACCATTAAAAAATTCTTTAAAATAGGTAAAAAGAATCGGAAAAAACAGTAAGTAGGTAACAAAATAATATTTGTCTTTGATGAAAAGGTTTGCAAAAGGTAAAGTGAAATACAGAAAAACCATGAAAACGTGGTCATGTTTTTACCGCTTGTAGCAAGAAAAAACGAGATTCTTAATCTGTCTAATGATTTTCCAATTCAGACCACGTGTCATTCCCTAGAGTATGATTTCTTTGTTAAAACATTTACGCAAGAGACGACACATGAATATGAATGCAACTCAAACAAAGAATCTCAAGAGAAAAGACACATGGTCTGAAATGGGAAAACAGTACACCCGAATATTCATTATGATCATTAGCCTATTGCTCACCTATCTAGACGTATCATTTCATCGTCTGAATCAGATGACGTACGTTCTGTCGTGTCCATTAGCTTCAGACGCGTGCTGGTGTCAGTATCAACCTGTTTATCGCTGGTTACTGCGCATGAAGTACTAATAATAAATGATAATATTCTCATTATTAGAACTACTAATAACATACTATTTATGATGTATCCGATAGCGCTTTACGATAGAAAATAATAATTATATAGATGGATGGGAAATAATAAAAACACTTTATTCGCTATCAGAAACAGTCTCAACTACTTACTCGTTCGATTCGGGAACAATTTCATCGATGGACAGCGAAGTTAGTCTTGAATATGTGATTCTGTTATTGAATAATTAAAATAAGAAGAATGATCGTAAGCGGTTTACGAGGACAAACAGATGGTGGGAGGATGATCACGTGACTAACCAAGACTCCAATCCATTGAACCACACACTGATTTCAATACTTTGACACACTGGTTACCGCCATTTGCATTGCTACGTGCACTTTGCAATAGACTGCCGTCAATCAAATACGTTGACGTCATTTACACGCGTTTGGATCAGCCCGGATAGGCCCGGTGAGTGTGGCTCATAATACTTGTAAACAATCGACAAGTTTTGGCGCCTTTTGAATCGCGATTTTTGTAATAGATGTTGATCTGTCTTTAGGGTAAAGTCAAAGGGAATTTGCAGTCTGCTACTCAGGTTCTCTCGAAACCTAACGACCGAGAAGCAATGGAGCGAGAGAGTCTCTAGAACCCAGGGTAGCAGTCTGCTCGATATATTTGGATTTTAAGAAGTTAAGTCAATATCGGTTGTGCTACCAGCCTTTGAATTTCGTACAAATAAGTTTTCCATGGCAACTATCTTAATATTTTTCGTACCTTTTCCTTCGTCGTCTTACCATCATCACTCCAATCATTAAAGCTAGAACTAACACAAGCCCCCCAGTCGGCAGTAGAGTGTAGAGTAATAGCATAATGTTGCCATGGTGATGAAGATGGGTACCTGGGTTATTGGTTGGAATTGACGTCACTTTTGATGATGACGTATACGGTGAAGATGACGTAATTTCGGTCGTCGTTACGGGTGTTGGTGGATGTGAAGTCGTTTTTATTTCTGCAGTAGAAGACACTGAAAAACGCACAATAAAGCAACAATAAATAAAATGAAATACTGAAAAATTGAATGAATTGAAATGAAAAAGTTTGTAAATAGTTACATCGCTGAGAAGTAGAGATGAACTCGAGCTTGACAACCGGGAGAGGGGCGGGGGGTACATGTGTTTCATTCTAATCGTCAAAACCAGGACAAAATTATGGTCTGTATTCATGATTAGGTTCTAATAAACACAAATAAATATTTTATAATCCTTTTGAAGGTAATCCAGTACCTGTAAGCGACGCTGATGTCACACTCGATAACGGGAGTGTTGTTGCAGCAGTTGTCACTGAAATTAATACAGAAGCCTAATTCAGTATCAAATTTAATGGATATCAGTTTTTACGCGATATGAAAATAATTGAGCTGTGTAAACTAATTATTAGTTACTTTACATACCCTTGGGTATCATGTGATAGTTGAACTCAAAATCGTACGTCCCATTTCTGTCACCAAATTGTAAAACGACAAAGACCTGATTGGTTGATGACGTAATATTCCGACCTAGAGGAGACTGGGTACTAGAGAATCTCCCCAGCGAGGGAGCAGACTCTTTACATCCATCCAACACCTCTAGGTAGCTGTTGATGTTACTGGCATGAAAGGTAAATCGAGTGAAACGTACAACCAAGAATTGAAATGGAAGTGGTGAATAAGGTTTGATGCACCATGCTGTGTGTCGTTCTTGATGGACAGATGTTTGGTTCAGATATCGTGAGATGGTTCCTTGGCTTGTGGTCAGAGTCTTGTTACTGTCTGAAACAACAAGAACAGTGATATCTTCGTATCTTTGAATTACTATACATAACCTTAACTTCATCCCCACACCACACCACACCACACCACACCACACCACACCACACCACACCACACCACACCATACAAAACCACACCCCACATAACATCACAACTCTACACTACACTACACCAAACCTGACCAAACTTCTAAACAAGTCACATCACTGCATTGCACCACACCACACCACACCACACCACACCACACCACACCACACCACACCACACCACACCA